TTTTTTTTTTTTTTTTTTTTTTTTTTTTTTTTTTTTTTTGAGATGGATTCTCGTTCTGTCACCCAGGCTGGACTGCAGGGGTATGATCACGACTTACTGCAGCCTCTGGCTCCTGGGTTCAAGCAATTCTCCTGCCTCAGCCTCCTGAGTAGCTGAAATTACAGGTGTGTGCCACCACACCCAGCTAGGGTTTTTTTTGTTTTTTTTTTTTGTATCTTTAGTGGAGATGGGGTTTCACCATGTTGACCAGGCTAGTCTTGAACTCCTGAGCTCAAGTGATCCACCCGCCTTGGCCTCCCAAAGTGCCGAGATTACAGGCATGAGCCACCACACCTGCCCTTGTTCCACTGCTTTCTAATTGGTTGTTTTCAAACCCTCTACTGTAAGCTTCAGGAAGACAAGGACCATGCTTGTGTCTTTGGACTCTCAGGGTTGGATGTACCTTAAGGGCTTAATAAATGTTCGTTGATTGAATAAACAGGAACCCCTTCACCTTTCTTTCATTATGCTACTTCCTTGTTTTGGCACTTCTGAGTTGTTGCTGGTAACATCTTGCAACTTGGCTATTAACACTTTACCTTTATGTACTGATAATTGGTCAAGCTGGGTATTGGGTACAGGGAGCCTCCATTGTATTCTTTCCATAATAAGAAGGTTTTTAAACAAAGTCATTAACATCTGTAAAACTGATTTTCTAAAGAGCTGTTCCCATCTGACTGCAGAGTGGAAAGCATGTGATAGCTAAATTGTGACAAGCTCTTATTATTTACTCTCTAATGGCTGTTTGTATGGTTGCATATCCCTTGTATGTATGTTTGGGAACAAGCATTTTGGATTTTCTTAAGATTTTGGTATATTTGCATTATGTTTAATGGTTGAGCATCTCAAATGCAAAAATCCAAAATCTGAAATGCTCCAGTGAACGTTTCCTTTGAGCATCATGTTTGTGCTCAAAAAGTTTTGGATTTGGGAGTATTTCAGATTTCGAATTTGGGATACTGAACTGGGAATCATTTGTTTCTCAAACTGTAGTTCCCTGATGATTTGAGGACTTACTCTAAGGATCCTTTAGTTTTCTTGTGAAAAAATGTTTGAAAATTGTGTTTATTGTCTGGGTGCGGTGGCTCACTCCTGTAATCCTAGCACTTTGGGAGGTTGAGGCGGGTGGATCACCTGAGGTCAGGAGTTTGAGACCAGCCTGGCCAACATAACGAAACCCAATCTTTACTAAAAATGTAAAAATTAGCCAGGTGTGGTGGCACACACCTGTAGTCCTAGCTACTTGGTGGGGCTGAGGAAGGAGAATTGCTTGAACCCGGAAGGTGGAGGTTGCAGTGAGCCGAGATTGCGCCACTGCACTCCACGGTATTTGCTTTTACCAGCAATTCCCAAATTTATTTTTCAGCTCAGACTTTTCTGAACTCCAGGTTTATATATCCAGCTATATGTTCAATAGCTCTACTTAGAGCCATCTCAAACATAAGATATTCAAAACTGGACATATCAAGATTTTTCTTTTTTTTCTTCTCCCTTCCCTCTCCAAATCTATACTTGCTGCCATCATCCTTATTTTAATTAATGGCAGTTCTGTTTTTCAGTTGTCAGGGTAAAATCTTAATGTTATCCTTTATGACTTTGATTCTCTTAACCTTAGGTGTAATCTGTTAGGAAATCTTACTGACTCTAGCTTGAGAATATTTCCAGAATGTGGCCACTCCGTACCATCTCTACATCTACCGCCCGAGCCCCTGTCATTTTATAGCAGATTATAGCTGTACCATTAGCCTCCTTGCTGTCTCCATGCTGTTTTATCTTTGCCTCCTTGTAATTATTTTCTACACAGCAGTCAGAGTGATCTTTCAAAAATAAAATTCACTGATGTTTATAAACACACAGAAAAATGTACGTTATGAGTTTTCAGTGAATTTTTGCAAACTGGTTATACCTGTGTGTGACCAGCGCCCAGAGCAAGAAACGGAATGTGACCAGCAATTCCTCATGCTGCCTTCCAGTCCCTGTCCCAAGGGTAATCACTGCCTAGACTTGTAGAACATAGGTCAGTTTCATCGTTTTTGTACTTTATCTATAATAAATGGAATCATACAATATGTACTGTTTTGAGACTGGCTTTTATGCAGCCTTATATGTGTGAATTATCCATGATGTTACATGAAATTGTAAATGGTTTCTTCTCATTGCGGTGTGCTATTCCATTGTGTTACTTTACCGCAATTTATCCATTCTTCCATTTTGCTGATGGGCATTCAGATAGCTCCCTGCCTCAGGCTATTTTGAATCATGTTGCTTAACATATGTATTTATGTTGGGTATATGCCTAGGAGTAAGATCTCTAGTTCATGAGGTATGTGTTCATACTAAGGGTTCAGCCTTAGTATGTATTACCAAATAATTTTCCAAAGTGCTTGTACCCCAGAAAGTGATCTTTTAAAACATTTAAGTTAACTTCTATTACTCATTGTTTGAAAGCCTTTCAGTGGTTTATCAACTCACTCTGAATAGCTGAAATTCTTAAAATAGTGTATCACTCGTCTTCCTACTTCTCTTTCAACATGCCGAGTGCATGTATCTTCGGGCCTTTGTGCTAGCTGCCCCCTCTCCCTCATTTGTTGTACCACCTAGCTACATTGCCTGCTTAAATTTGGATGTCTGCTCACAGGTCACTAACATGTAAAATAGTCCATTCTCTTCATCTCTGACCGTTTATTTTGCATTATTTTTCCCCTTAGTACTTACTACTGAGCATATTTATGTTTAATATGGGTAACATCTGTCTCCCTGGCCGCCCACCAGGGACTTTGTTTTTTGTTAATCGTTGTATCCATTATCATCAAAAGCAGTAGACATTAGTAGTTGCCCAATAAATAGTTGAATGAGTAAATGAATACATAAAACAAATAGTTGTAATAGACATAAGGGATGAAAATAGAAATTTGGGGAGAATGGAAATAGGACAAATGAGGTTAAAAATGGGTAAAAATTAATTTTAATCTTATTAATACAAAGCTGAAAGACACAGGGCTTAAAATAGCAACTGCTTATCACATTCTAATTCCTACTCTCCAAAGTTAACTATTTTCTTTTCTTTTTTTTTTTTAAGGTGG